TTCCCTCAAACTTTTTGTTTTAAATGCCAGATCCCTGCTAAATAAGATGCCTTTGCTTCAGACTCTGGTGTTCCTCCACTGTCCAGATATTGTTTTAATAACTGTGACGTGGACATCAGTCTCCGTAACTAACTCTGAACTCTCTCTTCTAGGCTATTCTTGCATCCGAAATGATCGTCAAGACAGTCGTGGTGGGGGCAGTTGCGTCTACGTTATGCAAACACTTACATTTCTGCTGCTGGACCTCCCGCATTTTTCCGCTGTAGAAGGCAGCTGTTGGCTCCAATTTGTGCTAAAAATAAGTTTTCCTTACTCGTTGGTTGCGTCTATCCAACCTCAATGAGAATTTGGTCGCTTACTCTCACAGGCATTTCGTGCTGCGGCTGACTTAGGCTTTAAGTATCAATTGTTTGAGGATGACTTTAATTTCCTCGAAGTCCGCTGGTCTCCGCCATCAGAACCCAGAATGTTCGAAGGGGCTGTGGATGTTGGGATGTGGACTCAATTTGTCGATTTTCCCACCCGGGAATCAAACATACTTGACCTGACTTTCTGTAGAGGCTGCATACCTTTGACAGTGTCATCCCTACGTCCACTCGGGGGCTCCGACTATGGCATAGTAGATTTAACGTTAGAACCCGAGGCTGACAAAACGGTGTCCCCAAAATATAGCTTTTTCCGCGATTTCCATTCAGCTCTCTTGAACAAGTTATAAACACAACGTAATTTCTTCAAATGGACCGATTTATTCTTTAGTTCGGATGTAAGTGTTTGCACTGCGAAACTGTGCGAAATTTTTAATCCGCTGATTTCTTGTTTTGTCCGCCGTAAGAGGATAGTTGATGTCGGGGATGAGGTTTTCCTACCCTTGCCCTTTCGTCGCAGGTTGCGCAGACTTCATCATCGATTCCATTTTCAGAACAAAGTTCCTGTTCAGCCCTTGATTTGTGATATTTTTGAGCGCGCTAAGAGATTGTCTGAAGAAAAACAGCCAGCCCAAGAGGTTCAGTTTACCGAAAACCATTCGTTAAATGTCCCGAAACTTTTCTCAGAAAAATACGAACTCCCAGAAAGACGCAGCATCCCACCCTCCGAGGGGCTCTCGGAAATCCCATAGTTGATGACCAGTTAACCACTGATAGCTTCAATGCTTTCCTGTCCAAAACGTTTATTGAAGACTCGACCAATCCGCTTCCGACCATCCAGGAATTGACCGGGACAGTTCTAAAAACGATAACTTCCACTCTGTGGGAAGTGAGTGTAGCGATTCGGAGTTGTCGTCAATCTTATAGTCCTGGAACTGATGGTGTCCCAGTATGCATTCTAGAGGCGGATGCAAATGCAATTTTCCCATCTCTATTATGCAAGATATTTAATCTCGTCCTTCAAAGTGAAACCTATCCTACTTAGTGGAAGGAATCACACATTTTGCCATCCCTAAGCACGGCAAATCTACGTCATTTGATGACTTTCGGCAAATAAACACCCTCCCCACAGTTTCGAAGATCCTAGAGACATTGACCAAAGATAAAATGATGTGTCACTAAACAGAGAATACCCTACTGAGTCCTGCTCAGCATGGAGTCCCCAAAGCTCGGTTTTGTGACAACTATCAACTCTCTTTCTTTGACTATGTTCTCCAATCTAGGGACAATGGTTTTGTACTTTACACAGTGTATTTCGCTTTCACTAAGGCCTTTGATCGTGTTGGCCATGCTCCTCTTCTCTTGTAACTGTCTTCTTTCGGAATAGGTTGCAAACTTTTAAATTTTATATCCTCTTACCTGGGCACTCCTACACAAAGAGTTAAGGTTTCCAATACTGTCTCCAACCCCACATGGGGGAGGAGTGCAGTCATTTAGGGTAGTGTACTCGACCCGCTTTTATTTTGCCTTTTTGTTAATGATGTACCCGATTTATTCCAGAATGGTAAACCTTTCATGTATGCCGATGATCTTAAAGTTGCAAATCGATATAAGCCGACAGATCATGACATCGTGTTTGATCTCCTAAAGAGCGACCTACAGGCTTTCGCCCAGTGGTGTCGCACATGGCACCTTTCTATTTCTTGGCATAGATGCTCAGTCATGGTAGTTGGCGACGACCGCCAACCTCAACTAAGCATTGATGGTCACGCCATAAATGCGCCTGGGGTTATTACGGATCTGGGCGTATCATACTCCAGGAGCCTCAATCTTTCGGAGCCCTGTGCCTTGATTGTCTCCAAAGCACGTAGAACGACCGAGTTTATCCTCCGAAACTTGAAAACTAGTGACATTAGGATGCGCCTTTATAACATGTGCTTTAGACCTGGCCTGGAATACTGTTTTTTTACTTAGCCTCATGCGTGCTACTGAACAGAAGAAAATAGAATCCGTTCAACATTTTTTTTACCAAGAGAGACTTAGCCCTGTAACACCGACACTTGTCTTACTAAGAACGTTGCCTGCTTACAGGCCTTGAACGTTTATGGTTCCGTAGATTACAAAAGGGACTATTTTTGCAATTTAAGCTCTTGTATAATCGCACCTTTAGCCCACTCACTACTTTAAGACATCATGTTCAGCCCCCCCCCCACGTAACAGTCACTATGAGGTCTTTTTATTTCTTCCTCTGGCACGTACTGTTAAATATCGTCGGTTATACTCTGTAAATGCTATTGCTATTTGGAATAAACTACCCATGAGGGTACTAAAAGTGCAAAAGTCTCCATTATTTAAGAGAAATATTACTCGATATTTGCATTCAGAAAAGCTCCCACAAATTTTGGCTGCTGAATCGACTGATCGACTGTACCGTTACGATGGCGTTTTAGGTCTCTGAACACTATGGTGGGTCTCTCCAGGGACAATTTATTTGGCAAACACCGACAGCTGTTCTTCGGTGCCTCTATTTTGATTATTCCCAACCTCACGAAAGGAATTGGCGTCTGATAATCTCCGATACCGTGCAACCCCTCCCTTTTTGACTGTCTGTGAAAAGCCCCACAAATTTTGGGTGCTGAAACCACTGATCGACTCTTCCGTAGCGATGGTGTTTGTGGTCTCTGACCACTATGGCCGGTCTTACAAGGGAAAATGTATTTGACCAACAGCGACAGATGTTCTTTAACTCTTCTGTTTGGACTAGTCCCAACTTCATGAAAGAAATTGGCGACTGATATTATCCGATACCATGCAACCGCTCCCTTCTTGACGGTCAAAAGTTTGTCGCCAGCAGTTTTTTTCTCCTGAACCCTCCAAACCATAAAACCACCATCAACTTTATTTTTATTCCTTTTTTTCACTGCTGGCCGGATTTTTGTTTAACGCTGCCCTGGCAATGCCTGTAAACTAGCATTAAATAAAATTATTATTATGATTATTATTAAGCTGTTCGAGGCCTCCCTTCTGGACTATGCTACACCATTTGATATTGTCGTAAACTTGACTGGATCACAGTTTGGTCCATTGATGCAATCATTGACATGCATAATGTACAGTGTAGGGCGGGAAACGTTAACACCAACTTGAAGGATTTGAGATCGGCCAAATAAGAAGTTTTGAGTCCCCTTGCACGTTATCTATACAACCCGTTCCACTTAGCCTGCCCGGTAAACGATGATGCAGAACATTATTAAGTATCCCTATATGTATGTATTTGTAGGGTTAGAGGCAGAGCCCTTGATGACCCTGCTTATGTACAATGCTTCCGCAGATTCGCAATCAAAATAAAGTTGCAAACATTTACAATGTGATCGGACGGCAGCAAAATCGTGATGATAAGGAAGTACATCTGTTCACTGTAAATCAGTGCCGGAAGATTGTGTATAGCAAAGTGGTTTGCTGAACAAGCTGTGGGTAGTCATGTTGTGAAAGCCGGTTTCTGTCGAAAATCAAGCAAGCAAGTTTTCTTTTAAACATGCAAATTGTGTCGACCGACAAGATCTCGTGTGTTAGCGAGTTCCGTGGTCGGACAAGTCGCTGGTTAAATAAAAACTTCCTGCTGTCTAGCCGCGCGCGTTTACCCTTGACTTTGTTAAGGTGACTGCGTAATTGGTTCGTACGGGCATACTCAAAAAGTTCTCCGTTCTTACTGAGCAACCTTTGCCACGGACAATCCGAGATGTCCAGAGTTACCTGAACTATAGCTGCCTCTTCTAGTACGACAAATGCTTTAGACTATCGACCATCTCCGTTGGTCTGCGTTCCATCTCTCCGAGTAAGTCAATATCCTTCCTCATTCATGGTGAAGCTGCTGTAAGCAGGTCAAATTCGAGGACTTTAGGACCGCCATTGAAATGACGACAGTTCGTAGTGAATTGTTAATGAAGGGCAGATTAACCAAGGAGTACACACCATCTGCTGCCTCGAATTAATGAGTGTCTTATCTGTGGACACATGCATATGCGTATTAATGTGAGATAACTTTTTACCATCCTCAAGTCCGCAGAGTTTTCAGTGGCATCGTTCTGTTTATCCAAGCCTATTTGTTTCTCATCGAGTTTTCCGATTTCTCAAATTCGGTTGTTTGCTACACCCTCTGCGTTTTTAGGGTGTTTTTCGTTCATTGTGTCGCCGCTAACCGAAATCCCTCGAAAAATCGCGCTTTTTAGGTTTCTGCTGGCCGTTACACTTCTCACCTTAGTTTTGTATTAGTTCAAACTAACAGGCAGGCAACGAAATACTGAAACGTCTCTCACTTCCTCATTGAGAACTATAATGTATGCAGAAGTCTGAAACTTTTGCGAAGTTGGAAGTCTCAGTTTGTTTGAGTGAGTCCTATTTTCGCCCACGCGGTTGACCTGTGTGGTGTGCGCTGTTTTGGTGGTCTGGACGTGTGCGTATAAGTCACTCCGCCCACCGAAGGATCAGTTTGTTGAAATCGGGAAAATCATTTGCTTTTATAAGCAGAAGTGTTAGTGAGATATACCATCCGCATCCGGTTTCGGTTGCATTACGGCGCACTTTTCGCCTCATTTGAAAAATTAAGGCCTGCCATAGTTCACTTCTGAAATCCGAATGGCTACCGGAACCGCTGGACCTAATGTTGCAAACGGTAATTTTTTATATGAAGACAGTCACGCTACTCCTGATTGGCCACTTGCACTTATAATTCCAGGCTAGTCGGGTACCACCCGTTTAACTTATTTTCGAACTAAGCTTTCGTCGGGGTAGTTCATAGGTCTGCAAATTTTGTCACTACTCCGATTTCCTCCGGGCACAATTTTTGCGTAGTGTGTGTCTAGTTAGCCTTTATTCAAGGATCTGGACTGAAATTCCGCCTCGAACTCTGTCGGGTGTTCATTTGTGCTCTCAAAAGACATTCTTTCATGCATTCAGTTCGCTCGGAATAGAAGTCATAGTCGTCTTTGAGTAAAGCTTTTAGTCAAGGAAAGGTTGTCCGGGTAGTTGGCTCACCGTCGCCGAGCGCACTTAACATTGACGACAAGCGCAAAAAACCGCATTGCGGTCGACGGCATGCTTAACGAATAAGCTGTTCACACTGGTGGTAATGACCCACTTACGTAGCTGACAGACCGATCGTTTGCATAACCAGTAAGTTGTTCCCAGACTAACACTGGGGAATGGACATCGTCTGTCCTCGAGAATGAGCGCCTACTCCAGCCTTCATTCGTCTTCTGAACGCTTGTTATGTAACGCCCTCTAGCATGTTTCGTATGTACGGCATTTCGTTTTATACCTAAATGTTTTATGACCAGTTTGTTTTGAGCGTGTGGCTGTCATGATCTCAGAATAAAGCCAAGACATGAACCAGAGATTTCTGAACATCATCTGTCATTATTTAAACTCCATGATCTTTTCATAAATGCCACCCATGACACTATGGTGAAATGCAATGACGAATAAGTTACATCGGAGCTTTCAACTATGTATTTTTTATAGGTGCCATGACATTCAAACGGACTTGAAACATCTGCCCATATGCGACTACACAAGCGTGTGCTGCGGGCTATGCAAATTGTCCCCCCATTCATCTTACTAAATGGCTGCTGATAACCACGGCCGTCTAGCATTCACATACAAGGACTAGTCCTTTAATATGGTGGCTCCTCCATAAATTAAATACCAGGCACCTTTGACCTTGCAGTAGAAACTACTATGTCTACCCCTCCTGTTGTCAATAAGGGCGTTCGGGCAAGGCAAGTCCTTGGATGACCATACTCTACTCCAAAGTTGATTATGGAGATACAGCCTTCCATGCCGGCGTTCCCCGATCCTCCTGAGTTCTGCTTAATATCAACCACTGTAGAATTCAGATTATGCCTAACAAATTCACATCAAGAAGCAAATCAGTCCCCTCGAGTGTTGTGTGACTTAGGATTTGGCCTCTCGAGCCTGGATAGTTCATATTTTTACGTGGAAGATTATGGATGTATACCATCTAACACAAATTCCGTCCTGTACGTTCTCCGGGTGGGGGGGGGCTCTAATGTTGCTGTAGAATTTGGCTGAAATGATCCTTATCTAAGTCTGCGTTGGGAGCCATCTCCCTGTGTGATCGCGAAAATCGTCTACTGCCTACCTGTTGCTTGGAGTTGCTAGGGCTTTGGGCAACTAGAGCCCCCTCCAGTGCCACGACATTGACTAACCAGATCTCGAACACGAGCTTCAGTGCCAACTTAATGGAACTCTAAATTGCCAACAGTCAAATCCAAAACATTGTCATTTCATGTGTGTGCTTACCCTCGATGCTGTGTTCCACTTTACTACTATCTTAAGATCTGGCGACGTCTGCCGAAACTCAAGTATCTACTAACATCATGGACAATTCTAGCTCATTCCGAACTAGGTCTCATAGGCCGTGGGAGGTGACAGTTTTATCGTTGTGACAGACGATGTCCACCGTGTGCTCCACAACAGGGGGACAGACACGGGGACTTGCGCACGATTTCATTTAGTGATAGTAGGCTGGCGATGCATCTCACGCACTCTACCACGCCCGGGCCTGGTGTCAAGATATAGTCAAGAAGACCGCCACACCTGGTTCACAACAAACACGACCAGGATTTTAACCAGCAACGAGTGCGAATGCTGGCGTGGCCGAAACCGCTCCTAGGCGTGCTGCTGCACCCGGCCTCGACCCCACGCAATGGGAGTACCATAAAGGCCATATTGACAAGGAGCCATTGCAGCCTGGCTCTCAGTCTACTGGTCAGCCTCTCAACACATACACACAACTGTCCGACTGCGAGTACTGATTTGAAGTGTCAGTCGGCAACCTTCCAAGCTGTGGGAGATAGTAGACAAGACATTAGACCAACGCATGGAAATTTTCATTTATATCACTGTCGAGTCGAACGGGCTATCACCCGTGTTTTAAAGCTGGTCTGGATAGCTAATTCAGGCCGTTGCGTTCTCCCAGACTAGTGACGCAGTTCCAGTCCTACTCATTGACTTGTTTCTGCTATTTCGGCATTCCACACGAGAGCTGAAGAGTGTCGAAATAACTAGTCCAAAACCAATTTAAAGTCTGTCTATCGTCAACTCCTCAAACTTTAGTACACCTCCATTCACGTCGTTAATTTAGTGGGTGATAACTCTTCCTTCTGCTTCTTTAAGATCACGATGACGAATTCGTTGTACCGCACATGGACATATCCTGTCTTCAGAATTCCTTCGCTTACCAACGTGTCCTCGAGGAACCCTGGACGTACATCCACAATTGGGATTCCCTAAGTGTCTCCATGCAGCAAGCCGTCATGCAGTCTTTTATGCAGGAATTGCAGGAAATAAAGACCGGCATCGCCTACACTGAGGGAGTATATGTGGGGGATGTAACCGGAGAGAATCTTGAATTCTTACCTCAGGTTAGTTGCACTTCTTTAAAAGCGTGCAGTACAGCGACAGTTCGACCGACGATGTCTGCCGTGTGCACCACAGCAGGGTGGGAGCCGGGATGATGACTTCCGCGCAATTTATTATATAGTGAGGATGGACTTGCGCTGCATCCTCCGCGCTCTCCTCCTTTTTCACCCAAATGCGGTGTCAAGACGGATTCAAGAAGACTGTTGGCGGGGGAAAGCACAGATGGGTGGTGTGGCCAAAACCGTCGGCTAAGCGTACTACCTAACCCCCTGGTCTACAGCATACACTGACCAGGATTGTACACTGCAAAAAGGAAGGCGGACCGAATTCCCATTGGCACGGCATGGGCCTGCACCTGTTCGTGCCATGCCCACAATGTTGACATTTGTTATGAGTGCGCGTTCCCAATAGCCCCTGCCAGACCCCGATCTAGTTCCCGTGTTGGTCCAACGCATCTACCGCGTTGCTCGTTTTAGCGGGCACACACAGCATGCCACTGCAGCCATGACTTGCGGCCCCCAAGATGAACTGCTGTTTTGTCAGACTGACTCAAGTCAAACGCATGTGTGTACACGCATTAAGTGGGGGTTTTATGCCACGTCGGCCACTGCGCCCGGTTTTATTTTCAGTTAACTCGGAACTGTAACTGGCTGGTTTTCAGTTACTATTGCCGCTAACTTCTCTAAGACACTTTCATTCATCCTCCACTGACTGCATCGATGTTGACCTGGGGAAGGGCAGTTAGTGCCGGTCACAGTTCGAAACTGTGATCCTGAGTTGGTATCTTTACTGCAAAAATTGCCACCCCACTTGTCGTGCAGACCTTGTTGGAATATCAAGGGCCGAGTATCGAAAGTAAGATGCCTGAGAAACTGGCCATCGAGATTAACAGTAGCAGAGAGTAATTACGCAGGAGAAAGGTTGCCGTCTTTCCTTCCTACAGTAGGTGGTCGGAACGTAACTAGCACAAGTTTTGTGTTTTTCTGCTAGATAAACATTGTGTGTCTTTATTGCCACTAGATTTTGAAGTTTACGGGGAATTTCTTTTTGCCGTAATATTTTCTTCTTTATAGACCCCTGTACTTCCGTCAGACCAATTTAGGCCGGCCAGTCAGCCACAGCAACAGAATCTGCAAAGTTGATTACCGACTTTACATTGTATATTTTGGCGTCCCCATTCTGACCCGCGCTTAAGTGACCGTCTTTCGGGTATTGTTTTGTTTCTATCTGATGCCGCTTAATATATATTTCCCACATACGCATTTTCTCATTGTTCTTTGCAATTTTCATCTGTGTAGGATAACCCAGTAACACTATTTCGTAGTCCTAGCCTTACGGAATCAAAGTTGCCACCTGCAAAGTTTTTCATACCTGCCTGAATTCTGAAATGGGTAAAACCGTTTTAGTTTAACGGTAGTCCGCTGGTCGTTAAAGATGATGACCACCACTGTCTGGAGGCCGCGGTGGTCACTTATAGATGGCTTTATAATCAACGAATCTACGACGTCACATTCCAGGTTCTCCGCCTCCACCCTATTCCTATTAAGACAGTCAAGACCAGAGGTGGGATCTGGCGCGTGCCACATTCTGGTCCCTGCAAGCATTCGAATCCGACTTCAAAAGGGTCTCGGTTTCCACATCGATGTGTTTTGTCATATGAACCATTTGAAGAAGTCGTTGTAACCCAGGCAGCAGGTAAGGCGATGAAAAAGTTATTCTGTCAATTGCCCGCCGTCTGAACTACGACATTCATGATGTTTCGAGTGATTAAAAGCTTCCCAGATTTATCATGATAATGGAAGTAGATGACGAATCGGCGTACAGCACACATCGAGTCGAACTTTCTTCTGTCACATACATTAACAGCGAGTCCGAGTCAAGCTGACTGCGGCTAGCACGAGACCTGGTAACCAACGTGACATAGGGCCTGCGTTCATTGCTTGCCAAGCGCATGCTCACGCACACGAGACATTTAAACAGACTCCAATCCCATTGTTTGAGAGTTTACATTAGTAATACCCCAAGGAGACGTTTGATTTTGACCCATGATCCTGGGGAGAAGCCAGATTGCCCCACTGAGTCATTACTTTTAATCAATCGTGGTAACCTAAAAATCCATAATACTTTTTATGGTGTGGAGTCTAGGCGCCGGGCTGGCGTAAGGAAGGTTATCTCAGCAGTGCATTTGTGGTTATCAGGGCTATCCGACCAGTTGTAGCCAGGCATTATTAGTTCTGCTCTGGGAGAGCCGTGATTGGATTTTCGGTACACAGGGTAGATTGCAGTGAGCTGGCAGCTTTCCTGAGTCAGAACTACAAAGCGTGAGTTGTGGTACACTCTTGCATGTCCGACATGCCCGTTTCAGAATGGGAAAGTGATTGGTTATATTACCTGTGTGTCGGACGCGCGGTTTTTTGGCCTGTGGCTTGAGTCTGGACGCGTGATCACGGGGCAACAAGCTACGCTGGTCGACGTGCCTGAGATGTTCCCTGTTTGTGGCCGTAGTCGTGACTCAGTGCAGATGAACAAGGAGCGCCTCAGGTCAAGCCTGAGGAGTGGCCGTGTGTTAGCGGCATGCCTGTAGGTCAGCTCGGTTGTCGCGACCGTCAAATGGCAGCCAGGCTCCAGAAAGTGGACACTGCATTGACTGCGACAGCATTGCCCTCCTTGTGCCAAATTTTAACCGATCGAATATGCCGAGGTAGGGTGCAGTAACTAACGTAGCACAAGCCTCAACTAACACATGTCACACATGTTCCCCTGTCTAGGCCAAACAACACCAGTCTAACGAGAATAAAGACACTTTATTGGCTGTTTACTGCTTACTTGACGTCATCGGCTGATGATACCTCGACTCTAGGCAACTTGCCTCAGGTTAGGACCCCAGTACTGCAGTCAGAATGGTCTGCCAGGAGTCGCTTTCATGTAGCCAGGAGGACAGATCTCTTGTCCACTTTGTTGTCGGCACTTCGCTCTAGTGACGTATTCAGTACCAACTTTGCGATCCTTAAGGTGCCTGTTTGGTTAGGAGATGCTGGCTTTAGCCATGTCCCTCTTCGTGCAATGCTTTTGTACGCCCTTCGTGCCATACCTGAAAAATGTACATACGTACATTGGTGACCTAACCATTATCCGCTTGTATTAATGAGAAACAGGATGCTGTCTGGAAATCGGAGTTTTACTCGAAAATTTTCAACATGTTGGAAGTAAGCTGTCGCAAGATGAAATGGGCAAAATATCAGGGTTGCGGCACTCGGTCATGAAACTAGTGTGCACAGTGTGGACGTTAAGTTTATCGATAGGATGAATGGCGGAGCGATTGTGCGGGGAGGATGGCGGGTCCGTGGACAATTGGAGTGATGTAGGCCAACTAACCGTTTTAGCAGCGGCGGAGTCAACCACTAAGATTGAGGGAGTTAAGTATGAAGTTCGCTGGAGTCGTTTGGAAATTGATGCCTCCGTTTGTGAAGAGACGGATAAAGACTGATAAGCTTCCACTGTTCATTCACGATAGGACCATTTGGCTAGTGGGATGTTTTCGTATATCCTCTTAGTGGGCATAAGGATCGACATAACGGTTGATTGTGTCCGAAACTAATGTTTGGTACGTATGATTCAATTACGGCCTTCTGGGTTTTAACATTTTTCAGCTCAGAAAATAGTCGAGCCACAGGCACCTAAGTCTCTAACGGACCTCGTCACTTAATAGCTGCGGAAATCATTAGTCTGCCATATCTGGGGCTCGCGTCGGGAATCACAGCGGACGCTGAGGGGCTTAGTAGTGCGAAAGTGCTGACAGTTGTGTCGTGCAGCTGCATACACGCCGGCCAGAAGGGTGATTGGGCTACTAGCTAGTACTGCTGAGATGCTGTGGGTCGACTATGACAATTATTTCAAATTTTAATTCAGATCAACCTTTGCTGCAGAAGGGATCGTGCATGCGGTTTAGAAGCCGGCGGTCGTTAATTGTTTAACCAAACCGAGGGCCAGTCGGTGATATTGTCAGCCACGGCGCGAGATTTGCGTGCGCCCGAGCCCTGTTACTGTCAGCAGGCTGAAAGGTGATTCACACGCGGCTCAAGCGGTTTATTGGTATGGGGCTGCGGTCGATGTCACCACACCGAACAGACCGCTACAGCACTAGTATGTAGAATGGGCATTGCGCGAACACTACGCGCAAGTTGACCGCCGCCAACTTCTATCTTCATAATAATTTCGCAGCTGACCCTTTAAACTCCTGTCCTGAGAACCTAGGTGCAGGTGCTTCGCTTGCCACTTTCTGAAAGTATTAGCCTAACATTCATACCTGAAAGATATCTGTCAGAAGGTACTACTCTAGCACAAACACCAGGACAATCTTCGATGCAGAAGCTCCAAGGCCCAAGAGAGTACGGAAGATGAAGAGTCTCGTTGCTTTGCCCTTCGACTAGGGACGTTCGACGGTCGTCGTGGACGAGGCCGAATGTTAGATGGAACTGCAAAATATATTGGCTGAAAAGGAGTCATGCGCTTTCGGGACCGGAGAGTTCAATAAGCTTGTTAACAGCTCTAAAACGACGGTAGATAAGTTGAAGAAGGCGGAAATTCTGACGAGGAGGTAGACGCTGACGAAAATCCGCCGATGCCGTGATGACACGTTTCCGTGGTCTGCCAAGCCGGGAATCCCCCTACTTCTCGTTGTTTGCATGAGTGACACCCTACTCCTTGGACTGTAAAAGTGGCTTTAGCAATGATTTTGCTTCCTCACAGAAAATCCATTGGACGGTGAAGTCGATCGAACAGCCTCTAACGCGTATCAGGCATCTAGAGGTAGGGCCAGACGGGTCCGTGGTGTCGCTTGACATGATCTCGTCATTCATCTCCATCTCAACCGGCCTCATTGCCAGCATTATTGACAACATTCTCCTGGAAATATTTGACCAACTGCTCAGCGGAGTACCCTTAGTCGAGGTTTTGGAACTGTCTCAGTACCTTAGTCGCTTTCGATGGCCAGGCTTGCTTAATGGTTATTGATGTGGTTCTGCGGCTCTGCCCCTAAAAGGGGCCACGCGGCTTGGTCTGGGCCACGAGGGCTTGGTCTGGGGCGCGGTAGGCGTTATTGGGAATGCTCACCCATAAATGCCAACATTGGGGTGTGGCGGCAGATCCCATTGAAGGTCCGCACCGCGCCAGCTGTGGTTCGAGACGCCCCCTTTTGTGTAAAATCCTAGTCAGTGTACGTTGTAAACCAGAGGGTGTGGTGACACGCTTAAATGATGGGTTTTTGCTGTGCCAACCACCTGCGCCATCTACCGTCTCCAGTCAAGAAAAAAATAATGAATATTTTGTCTTGACACCGGATCCAAGTTGGGGGAGGGGGGGGGGAGTCCGGTGAACGTAGTGCAAGTCTACCATCACTAAGAAACAAATAACGCACAAGTCCCTGCTCTCACTCGGAGGTGGAGCAGAGGTTAGACATCGTTGGTAACGATGGTCAAGCCGTCGGTTCTGTAGCCGCTCAAGCAACTCCCCGTCAGCTAGTACTCACTGAAACTCTGCAACAATACGTCGACGACATTCGTCGTAAGTAGGAGCGATGGGTATGGCTGGCTTACGTGGTCTCCAAAGAGGATAAATTGCCCGTGGTACATGGATGCATACAACGGCCAAAACCAAATGTTGCCTCCGAGCAAGCGGGTATCGTAGACTGAGACAGTAATATGACCAAACTAGTACTCGGAAGTTTGTCCTCGATTGTCACATTTAGCCGAGCGATGGACCTGCATCCTATCAACCAGGCTACACACAAGGTCCAGATCAGTCCGTACGGGACCAACAGCGTAAGCGGGCAGTCATGTGGGTCCGCCAATTAACACTTGCAGAGAACGGTGTAGGAGCCAACCAGTGGTTACGCGACCGGACACAACGTGCTCAAATGCCGAAATTATCTCGCGCATGCAGTGACAACCGAGCATTCCATTCGATTGTGCGGGACGGGAGGGGCAATGGCCAGGCAACTCTTACGGCGGCCGCGATGGGAACTGGGATCACGCGGGCCAGCCGCTGGTCGGTCTCCGAGGTGTCAAAGTAAGTCATCGACGCAGGGGCAGGTGAAGGCTCGTGCGTCTGGCACGGCCGTAATACGAGACAGACGATGGGGCTA